CTAGTCTAGTCTAGTCTAGTCTAGTCTAGTCTAGTCTAGTCTAGTCTTATTGTACCCTATGACTATCATTAAGTGTTGCACCTGGTGATGCTTGACGAATGTATCTTTTCTGAGAGTATTTGCACCAAGACAAATTCCTTGTGTGTCCAATCACACTTGGCCAATAAAGAATTCTATTTCTATTCTATTTCTATTCTATTTCTATTCTATTCAATGGCCATATTTCAAGGCAATTAATGGAATATAAGATAAGATAAATTTATTGTCATTGTACTCAGAAACCTGAGAACAACGAAATGAGATGCTCTTCCACAACATACAACTGAACAACACCAAAAGACATATACAAATAACAACATAAAACAAATTAGAACAAATAACAGTTAAAAACTGTACAACCAGGATATATATATGTTAAGACCACCAGATTCATAACTCTGCATTTAACCTGATCACAGCACTTGGGTAAAAGCTATGTTTAAATCTACTTGTCCTGGCTTTCAGCACTCTATATAGTTCGAGATTTGGAATTCTAATAATCAGGAGTGTCAAACCAGCGGCCCGTGGGTGAGATGTGCCACGCCCAGGCCACGCCCACCCCAGCTCTGCGAAGGGGAAAAACATCACGATATGTCATGTGATGGCAATGTGACACGGCGAGTTTGACACCTGTGTAATAGATGGAAAATTGGTCGTGTAGCAGATCCATGACCAAATATATGCTAGCTAAAATGAAGACCATTTATCATTCAATAATAATAACAATCACACCAATAAAAATCAATAACTATTTCTATAGAAACGGCTTGTTCATATTATTATGAAAAAGCAAAAAGTTGCGATTTGATTTTAATGTAAATGCTTTTTTTTCTTATCCCTCCTCATTTCTCTTCCCCCGCTTCCTCTCCACTGTTTTCCTATTTACTTTCATATTTTGTATCTTATAATATTTTATAACTCAATAAAAATTAAAAATAACATCTTTCACCAGCTTTCCTCCTTTTTTATGCTATATTTTGCTTTTCTTCCTGCTCCTGAATTCTTTTTTAAAATATATTTTATTTTTATCTTTTACTGTCTGTTGCTTTGGAAATGCTAAGTGAACCAGAACTGATGCGAATCCTTGATAATATGAAATTAGAGCAGACTACTTCTAATGCATTTATAAGTGACACTGAGCATTTAATCACAGTTGTTTTTTTTGTTATGGGACAGGGAGTTGGGGAGGGGGCAGAATCAAAGAAGAAGACTGGACACTTATATGTAATTGGTAATTTTCAGAAAGTTAAAATGCAAAAATAAAATAGAAGGGATTAGGTGTATTTATGAAGCAATAAGAGAATAGTGTAATAGATATGCTGGATATTACTTATATTATATATATGGGAATGTGATCATTGTTATATTGATAAGAAGAATATAATTAGTAATTGTTAAGCACATGAAATATGTATCTAACCGACACACGATTGAAAAATATATATTGGCTTCAAAGGTCCAATTAGCATTGACTAGAGAAAAAACTCCCCCACGAACAGTTGCAAAAAGGAAGAAATTCCGTTCCAACTCAAAATACATATAAATTATAAATAGAAAAAACAACACAAACCACACAGAATCAATTAATGAGACAAGACAGGATAAGGGCTTGAAGACGTCCACAGATATCGAAATACACACCCTGGGAAGGACTCCAGAACTCAGATAAGAACTGACAGACTGGAAATATTTTCACGCTTTGCTTCGGGCACTGACCCATGCGCAGTTTGTCCTTTTAAACAGTCCTCACAGCTGTAGCCCATGAAGGGGATCAAGGCCCTTTCCTCCCCTGTAGACCATGCCATTCATGTTTCTCCCTTATCTGCTCCTCCCTGCGTGCCCTAGGATGAAGAGGAGATGGGCCTGGGTCTTCCTCTGAATGCCCAGCCGGCCTCTGCCCTTCCCCTGTTTCCTCCACACCCTCCAGAGCCAAACTCCCAACCCCTGACAGCTGTTCCTCCTCTCTCTCAGAGTCAGACTCTAACAGGGGCATGACAAAGTTAAAATGCAACAAACGTAAGGAAAAACTTTCCTCGTTTCAGTCACGCTGCTGAAAGGGAAGGAAGGAATTGCTCAAAAATGACGACTCTGAAATGATGTGATTGCCAACGAGTTGCCTCTCTTAGACCCAGCCAGATTATTGATCTGCCTCTTATAAGAAATTCAAGCTGCAGCTTTCGGCTGTCACTTTCAGAGGCCCTGGAGAATGCAACAAGATAGTTACTTGGAAATAGAAATAATGAATCCGGCAAGATCTTGAAGGCACTTTGTTCTTCTTTGCACATAATCTGAGGATTTTCTCTGAGGAGGAAATATTAGGGTTACTAAAAATAATTCCAGCAGCCAGGTAGGATTCATCTTTGGGGACCACATCATTTGCAGAGCTACTTCCAGGTTTTCCTTTCCGTTTCTATGGAGCCAATCAAGATGGTATCAAGAAAATGATTCAGCCAAATGGCACTGTTGTAGTTGCAGCAACTCTACTGGCCTCCAAGAAACAGGAGCAAATGTCAAGGGATCCCCGCAGGGTTTATTGCTCCCCAAGTTGTGCTTGTCTTGTGGTGTTTGTAGGGATTGTAGGAGAAGAGAAGAGAAGAGAAGAGAAGAGAAGAGAAGAGAAGAGAAGAGAAGAGAAGAGAAGAGAAGAGAAGAGAAGAGAAGAGAAGCTGGAAGAGACCTTGGAGGTCTTCTAGTCCAGCCCCCTGTTCAAGCAGGAGAACCTATACCATTTCAGATAAGTGACTATCTAGATCAGGGTTCTCCAACCTTGGCAACTTTTAAGACTTGTGGACTTCAACTCCCAGAATTCCTCAGTCAGCAAGCAAGGAGTTGAAGTCTACAAGTCTTAAAGTTGCGAAGGTTGGAGACCCCGATCTAGATTCTAGACTCTTCTTAAAAAACATCCACGGATGGAGTACCCACGATTTTTGGAGGCAACTTCTGTTCCACTGGTTAATTGTCCTCCCTGTTAGGAAGTTTCTCCTTCATTCCAAGTTGCTTCTCTCTTTGGTTAGTTTCAAACCATTATTTCTTGTCCTGCTCTCTGGGGCTTTGGAGAATAATTTGACCCCCTCTTCTTTGTAAAAGTCCCTCAAATACTGGAATACCGCTATCATGTCTATTAATTCTTCTTTTCCTTAGGTTAACCAGACCCAAAACTTGCACCCATTCTTCATATGGTTTAGTCTCCAGGCCTTTGATCATCTTAGTTGATCCTCTCTCAAACTTTTTCCATTTATGCGTGTTGCCTGGGAGCCTTGTAGTGCAGAATTATGTCACTGGAGATAAACTTTTTTTGATTCAATCTCATTTAAGGTTTTCTTCAACTTCCCCATACAATAATTGCTTTTTCATGTAGAGCATTCAACCCTAGTTCTGCAGCTGAAATTCCACAAGGTAATTTGGGAAACACTGTGAAAGCAGGTGAGCCAGAGGCCGTTCTCTCTGGCACTCTTTTCCTTCCATTAACAAAGAGGAAACAATCAGTCTTATTTAATTTTCTTCCAAACTACACTTTAGTTATAGTAGTTTAATTTTATTTCTATTCTCCAGCTCCTGGAAGAATCCCAAACCCCAAACCATTAATAAGAGAACATTTATAAGAGAGCATAATTAAATTAAAAAAATAAAACCAGCAGTGCTTAAAATCAATAAATACATACATTAAAACCATGTTGCCTTTGCAGAACAGAAAATGTCTGTTTTCAAGGCTACAAGTAGTAACTTCTGGACAGCCCTATCCACAGCCAAAGGATAAGCAGCCTATACAGGTAGTCTTTGACTTACAACTCATTTAGTGACTGTTCAAAGTTATGACGACACTGGAAAAAGTGACTGTCAGCTCTCACAGATCCCTATCGGGACATTGCCATTCTGGTGGGGAGGGGGCCTGGGTGCATTCTTTAGTTTATAGCCTTTTTCCTGGTGCCTCTGCATCCTGTACTTCGATTTACCTTCTTGGGAATGTAAGGGGGGAATCCCATCTGTTTTGTCTCAGCTCCGGAGCCTCCAGCAAGCAACGAATGCTGAGAACAGCTTCTTATCACCTTCTCAGTCTGCGATTCTCAAAACATCTTTGCATCTGTGGATTGGCTTATTTAATGCCGGACTGAGGGGAGGGGCCTCTAACAGGTTTAATCTAACAGAATTGCACAGGAATCCTCAGGTCCTGATTTCTTTTTTTTGAATTTTTTTTTAAATTTTAAGCAACAAATATAAACGAACACGAAACATATAACATACAACATTAAATAAAATCTTCTGTCCATTGTGATGACCTGGAGTGTAACACAAACGTAACAAAATCCAAAAAGTAAATAAATGTCTTTTAATGCCTCTAACCTGGCCCCACTGTTCAATAATTCTCAGCTGGAGATAAAACTTATTCAAAAATAGTCTTCAAAAGAAAGCAATACAGTCCGAACTTAATGATAGAGGTGAAATAAAAAACCAAACAAACAAACTACAATGAAGGAAATTCCACAACGGACCAGGATACGTAATTACCAAATTCATGGAGATAACAAGGCACAGTCTGTTGGAAGGACGCCAACCAAGATAACTTCAGCCCCAAAATAACACACGCTTTGCTTCTGGCAACGCTGTGTTGTAATCGTCTCTCTTATATACTAGTCTCCCCAGCTGCAACCAATGAGGGGGATCATGGCCGCTTCCTCTCTCGTAAGCCAAGTTGCTTCCTCCTCCGTTCCTCCCTGCATGCCCTAGGATGCAGAGGAGATGGGCCTGGTTCTTCCTCTGACTGTCCAGCCGGCCTCTGCCCTTCCCCAGCCTCCTCCACCACCTCTGGAGCCACACTCCCCTTCCCTGTTGGCTGTTCCTCCTCTCCCTCAGAGTCAGTCTCCACCAGGGGCATGGCATCCATTATACAGTGTGCCAGTTGGTACATATCTCTTGTGCATAATATCGTCATTCCATCCTGTCTTTATGTTACCATTCATATTGTATATAACGACTATCCACTTAGTATCATATTATTGTCAAATCATTGTCAGACTGTAATTACAAATTCATCTAATTTTTTTTGAGCAAGAATCAACTATTATAAAGCCTAGTTTATGGTATCATTCATTTCTAAATAATCAACATAGAATATCTATCATATTATAATTCTTTCCATAGTAATCGCTTATAGTATATTATTACATTATTTTATCTTAACTATTATGTTATGTTTATATTATGTTATGTTATATTTCTCTATTTTCTTGTCTAACCACAGATAAAATAAATCCCATATTTTATAATATTCTTTTTCTTCTCGCTCTCTAATGGCAAATGTCAATCTACTCATTTCTGCACATTCCATTATTTTCTTTCTTTGCTTTCTTTATCTTGCTATCCCTTTCCTTTCCTTTTCCTTTCCTTTTGAACTGCTAAGTGTTTCAAAAGTTCTACTTTCTTGAGTGGAGAGGAGAGGCATGTCCTTACAGTGACTTATTACCATTTCCCACATTTATGTCCATGGCAACATCCCTATCGTCATGGGATCAAAATTCAGACGCTTGGCAACCGGCTCGTATTTATGACGGTTGCAATGTCCCAGGGTTATGTGATCCTTTTTGCGACCTTCTGATTTGTCAGTGGGGAAGCCAGATTCACTTAACAGTTGTGTTACAAACTTCACAGCTGCAGTGATTCTGTCAGGGTTCCAGCGATTGCTCTAATTAAAGCCAAGCTTCAAAACAATCAAAAAGATTTATTAGGAGCAACGTGTTATATGAAGCCAATTCTGCCACACATAATTTATGGTCACCTGCGACCCTGTTTCCCCCTCCCCCCCAGGTATGTCATAAATCAGATTCTCCAACGAAGTTCTCTTATTGGCTGGGTGTCATCAATCACATTCTCCAATGAAGGATTTTCCCGGGCAGAAAATCCAGTAGCCTAGGCTACAATCTTTGTAAGATAAGTGTGCAATGTACTTCTGGTTTTAATTGCCGTACTGCTCCTTCAGGTTTCCCCCCCGTCCTGCTTATGGCAACTTGAAAACAGGCATAGGAATGCTTCATGAGTTGACAGTCCCTTGAAAAGATATGACAAATAAAACCCTCCTTTGTAAGCAATTTGAAGTACAAGGAAGAGCTGCCAAGGGTCATTCAGGGCTATGGAAGAATCCAAATTACAGGATTCCAGTCTCCCCTTGAACCTATCCAGCAAAGTGGAGTCCACCACCTCTCTGGGTCATACATTGCTCTGTCCAGCTGCTCTGACAGTTAGCACATCATGAGCATCTGCTTTCCTGCCCTTAAAGGCATTGTTCTATGTTTTGCATTCAGGAATGAAAGAGAACGGATCTCGATTTTCTACTCCAAAGCATCCTTTCTGGGAGAAGTGCTATTGTGTCCTCCTTGCACAGCCCTTCCCAAAATATCCCAATTCCTTCAGTCTCTCTCCTCAAAATCTGGTTTGCAGCCTCTGTAACAATCCCTGTTACCTTTGTCTTAACCTGCATCCTTCATTTCATATCTTTAGCATCATATTACTGTAATTTGCCTGGAATCAAACAAACCAACCAACCAGCCAGAGATAATTGAAAATCATTGTTGTTTGGGAATAGAAATCAACTGCAAAGATACCAAATCAGTGTATTCTCCAAAGTACCTGAGGACAGGACATGAAGTAGAAGATGGAAACTTATCAGAGAGAAATCCAACCTAGAAGTAAGGAGAAATTCTTGACAGTGCGAACAATTGATCAATAGAAGGGCTTGCCTCCAGAAGTTGTGACTGCTCCATCACTGGAGGTTTTGAAGAAGATAACCAGACAATCACTTGTCTGAAATGGTTATAGGACCATGATGGTGAACCTATGGCAGAGCCATTTCTGCCAGCACATGAGCTGCAGGCAAACTTACCTCACTGCACATGCGCGTGTCTCACAGCTGATTTTCAGCTGGTTTGAGGCCTTTTTCAGCCTCCCAAAGGCTTGAGGAAGGCTTCTGCAGGCTTTGCAGGTCGAAAACTAGGCCCGTTTCATCACTTCCAGTTTTTCCAGAAATACTGGAAGTGATGAAACGGGGCTAGTTTTCGGCTTGCAAAGCCTGCAGAAGCTTTCCTCAAACCTCTGGGAGGCCAAAAAAGGCCTCAAACTCACTGAAAATCAGCTGTGAGGTGAAGTGCTTGTAAAGGAGTGGAGGGGGTGGGTGGGTGGGGATTGCGCATGCATGCGTAGGGGGTATGGGGGGCACACATTGCCTTCTGGGTGCTGGCATGCGAGCGCAAGCGTGCGCACAATTTTTGGCACAAAAAGGTTAGCCACCATTGATATAGGTTCTCCTGCTTGAGCAGGGGTTTGGACTAGAAGACCTCCAAGGTTTCTTCCAACTTCTATTTGTATTTGTATTTGTATTTGTATTTGTATTCTCTTCTCTTCTCTTCTCTTCTCTTCTCTTCTCTTCTCTTCTCTTCTCTTCTCTTCTCTTCTACTGTACTCTACTCTATTCTGCTCTTTTCTACTTTATTCTACTCTACTTTATTCTATTCTAAAGAAGCAACCTGGAATTAAGGAGAAATGTCCTAACAATTACTAACCAGAGGAACAGCTTTGCCTCCAGAAGTTGTGGGTGCTCCATCACTGGAGGTTTTTAAGAAGAAACTGGGCAAGCACTTGCCTGACATGGTATAGGGTCTCCTGATTGAGTGGGGGGTTGGACTAGAAGACCTCCAAGGTTCCTTCCAATGCAGTTATTCGGCTACTCTGTTAAAACTAAAACATATCTGATTTGTTAAGAGGATGCGTGAAAAAGATGCAATTGGAATTGCACACAAAGTAGGGGATTCATGGCTTGGAAATCTGCATTGCAGCACCACTTGGGAATGATCACTGACAAGTAGCTGAATACAAGCCAGCAGTGAGACAGCTGCTACTTTGATTCTCCCGCTTTAGAAGAAGACACATTATTCCTCTCCACTTGGCATTGTTGAGACCACTGTGGAAGTTATGCACACAGTTCTGGGCACCCCATTTCCAGAAGACTATGGGGAGATTGGAGAGGAGCTAGAAGAAATGATACAGGGACTTGAGAAGTACTACACTCCTCTGCTCACAACAGAATACCCTACATCACCAGGCTTGAAATTTTGGGCTTGGACGACCTTGAACTATGCCGCCTGCATTTGGACTTAAGCATAGTACACAAAATTATCTGCTACAACGATTACTTCAGCTTCGACCGCAACAATACAAGAGCACACAACAGATACAAACTCAGTGTAAACCGCTCCAAACTTGATTGCAGAAAGTAGGACTTCAGCAACAGAGTGGTCAGTGCCTGGAATGCGCTACCTGACTCTGTTGTTACATCCTCTAAACCCCCCACCTCTTTTACCCTCAAACTATCCACTATTGACCTCACCTCATTACTAAGAGGTCTGTAAGGGGCGTGCATAAGTGCACCATCGTGCCTACCGTCCCTGTCCTATTGTCCCCATTTATTCATACCCATTTCCTGTATTCTTACTCAAGTGTATTCTTATACCTATCTTCTTGTGATTGACAAATCAAATAAGTAAAATAAAAATTAAAAGAAGGAAGGAAAGAAGGAAGGAAGGGGTAAGGAAGGAGAACAGGGAAAGGGAAGGAAGGAAGGAGAGAAAAGAATGGAGGGAGGAGAGAAAAGAAGGGAGGGAGCAGGAAGAAGGAAGGAAGGAAGAAAGGAAGGAAGGAAGGAAGGAAAGGAAAGAATACCCATTCCTAAGAGGTCTGTAAGGGGCGTGCATAAGTGCACAATCGTGCCTCCCGTCCCTGTCTTTTTGTCCCCGGTTTTTGTACCTATTTCCTGTATTCTTACTCATGTTTATACTTATACCTATTATCTTGTAAGTGATTGACAAATCAAATAAATAAATAAAATAAAAATGTTTAGTGGGGAAGGCTGACAGAATGTGGGACACTCAGCCAGGAGAAAAGAAGAGTGAAGGGAAACACGAGATGTTCAGGTAAATAAAAAGGGCCACTGGGAAGATGGAGAGGAACACTGTACTGTGGTCACAGAAACTAGGATCAGAAAGAATGGTCTTAAGTTGTGACTTCCTAGATTCCGTTTAAAAATGCAGAAAAACTTACAACAGTCTATTTCAGAGGCCATGTTTCTCAAACTCTGGAGGTTTTTAAGAGACAATCTCACAAGTGATTTATCTGGCTTTCCTTGGGTCCAGTTGATTTTTTGTGGTCTTCCCAACTTCCCAATTGTATGATTCTAATTAGGCAAATGGCTGCCAACCCTGAAGCCATTTTGGAGCACCTTCAAGGCTGCCATAGTAGGGCTGGCGAGAGCTGTGGGAATGGGAGAGGGGAGATAGAGATAGCTGGGAACTTGTAGTCAAAATAAAATTCTTTCTCCTGGGAACCAAGCACTTTCTCACCAGGTGCTGGGGAGGTGTGGACTGAAACCACCTGAGGGTGGGGTGGTGACTGGATTGGAACATGTGATGGATACGGGGATTGGTGGAAAAGAACTTTGATTTTTAATTTGGGTGGGAAAACCATGGGACCTTCAGAGTCGGGTTTTCACTGGATGTGCCAATATGACAGGCCTAATAAATCTGTACTTTGAGGAGCACCAGGCCTCAGAGGTTTGATTGCATTGGGTCTGTTACTTGGAACTCTGACAATGGCTACAAGAAGTTTGATTCCAGCCTGTCCCCAGTCACAGAAAAGCAGGGGTGGATTTGGAATGAACATGCATTGCATTCGTGATGACCCAGGGCATGGCACAAAGCCAACACAGTCAGATAATCAGTAGGAATCCCTTTATTAGCTCAAACTTTGCCCCCAATGTCCTGGTTACCTTCTGGCTGGAGAAAAACTCTCCCAGGAACAGCCTTTGGCTGCAGAGAATCAAGTCATGGTCAACAAAACTGTAACTATAAGTCCAATCAAGGCAAAATGAAGTAATTAGTCCAGCAGGGGAGGAGAAGGAATTCCAGACCTGAATTCAACACGGTTGGGAAGATGCCAGGAACACAGATAAGTAAAATTAACACAAGATAAACTCATGTTTGCTCCCAGCAGCTGCTGCACTCAGGGATGCATTTCTTTTAAACTCTCATTCCCAGTTGTGGCTAATGAAGGGAATCAGGGCCCTTTCCTCCCCTGTAAGCCACGCAACCCACGTTGCTCTCTTCTCCATTCTTCCCTAGGATGAAGAGGGCCTGGGCCTGGGTCTTCCTCTGAACTCCTTCTCTTTTATTCTATCTCTCTCCTGCTCTGCCCAGTCAGACTTTGCCCTTCCTCAGTTTCCTCCACAGCCAATGGAGCCACCCTCCCACTCCCTGTCAGCTGTTTGCCTTCCTCCTCGGATTCAGACTCCGACAGGGGCATGACAGCATTTATGGTAAAGCAACTGATGGGCTTTCTTCTGTCCCTTGAAAGGTCCATAGACCACCTGCCTCCATTTTGCTTCCCCCTCCCCATATTTCTTGCTCCAGACCATATAACCGCCTCACATCCTCTACGCAATATTTTAAATCTCTCCTGGCCAATTTCTGTGAAACCTTACATTATTGAGCATAGTCCACCTTGAGAAGAACCAATAATAAGGATGACTCTGGCTAGGAGAAGGGCAAAGCTGAGAGAGAAGAATTCAAAAATGCAAGGAAGAGAGTGACAGTCTGGGCGGCATCTCCTCCGGATGAGAGTGGGTAGGAGGCTCCCTGTTTCTCAGAACTGAAACAACTTTCCTCAGACATTCAGGGGAGGTAACGGCTTTGCTTGGATCTGAACCACTGACCTGGTAGATTAAAGGTCTGAAATCCCATTACAAACTCCAGCTCCAGTGTGTTTTGACACTCTTCTGTGAGCACAGAAATGAAACGATCCCATCATCTTTGAAATTACTGGCTGCGAGGAGCTGGTTCCACTGCTCGCGCTTCCAGTTGGGGTCAGCGGTTGGGTTCACCACTGAAATGCAGGCACTGACCTTAAAGAGCCTCCTGGCAGTTGCTAAACGTTTCTTCCCAGAGGAAGTCTGCAGGAGTGCAGAGCCGTCCAGGTAGGACAGCACATATATACCTCTTCACAGTGCTTCACAGCCCACTCTAGGCAGATTTACAGCATATTGGCCCCCAGCAATCTGGGTCCTCATTTTACCCACCTCGGAAGGATGAAAGGCTGAGTCAACCTTGAACTGCTCAGAATTGAACTCTTGGCAGTGGGCAGAGTCAGCCTGCAATGCAGCATTCTAACCATTGCACATCATGGATGGATGGATGGATGGATGGATGGGCAATACGCTGCTTCACAGTGCTTTCCAGCCCTCTCTAAGTGGTTGGATGGATGGATGGATGGATGGAAGGGCAATGGCACTTAGACTTATATGCTGCTTCACAGTGCTTTCCAGCCTTCTCTAAGTGGTTTAAAGAGTCAGCCTCTTGCCCCCAACAATTTGGGTCCTCATTTTACCCACCTCGGAAGGATGGAAGGCTGAGTCAACCTTGAGCGGGTCAGAATTGAACTCCTGGCAGTGGGCAGAGTCAGCCTGCAATGCTGCATTCTAACCACTGCACATCATGGATGGATGGATGGACGGACGGACGGATGGGCAATACGCTGCTTCACAGTGCTTTCCAGCCCTCTCTAAGCGGTTTCCAGAGTCAGCCTCTTGCCCCCAACAATCTGGGTCCTCATTTTACCCACCTCGGAAGGATGGTGTTAGATTCCGTCACACGCCGAAAAGAAAGCACAACAGCCACAACAGGGTTTGATTGATGTAAGCAGTTTATCTTCCTCTGGAATGGGTGTCGGTACTTAACTGACCAGCTGCTAGACAATGAAAG